TCAACCTATAAATGAGACCTAACGGTACAAGTAAGGGGTAAGTCTAGGTGCTACATCACGCTAAGTAACAGTTCAGGGGCGGTCTGCCATAAATTACTTAGTTTGGAATCCAATATGAAAGTATATCCGTATTGCTTATATACTTCACCATTTTATTATCTTATAGTTAACAATGCAATAAGAATGCTTACCCTTAAATCACAAAGAACGAAATGTATTGCCATATTAAAATATCTACCATCATAACAGAGCCCGATAAAAAATATTGCATACAAAATACCGCAGAACAATAAACTAAAATGCTATTATCAAATATTTTGTATTCATGATACCCTAAAAAGTAATAAGACCATGGCATGACCCTCTGTCACCATTGACATAGAGAAGTCTATTAAATGTCATCAAGACTAGGTATTATTTCTAAAGCAAAAAATAATACAAACAGAATCCTTAACAAAAATGCAGTACGACAATGAATTTTCAAGCGATTTTTTTACACTGTGGATTTTCATATAACTCTTCGCTTTTAGAAAATGAGATGGTATTTTAAGCTCTATGTGTTAGTAATAGGGTTTGCAATGAGTGTAATTTTATTGTTGTTTGGTAATTAATTGTTATTGCGCACGCGACGAAACCGCCCTAACTAAGGGGTTAACATCGCCCTCGAGTTAAGGGTTGTTGTGACGTACGATTACAACCCTCTCGATTATTGAACAATTCGTCATTCATGCTCGTTCGGACGCTGGTCTCGGTGAGATGACGTCACAATTTATTCTTTTTTGTGATAAAATAGGACGCGTTGTAATATGGTAGTGCACTTGGACTGATTTACATCTGATGGACGCACTGTGATGTGAATGTTGTAAATGGTGTTGCCATCGTTTTGTGTTAAAGCTAGAATAAAAATTTGTTGAACGAAGAATGTAATTGGTAAGTACCCATAAATTCTTATAAAAATGTAGCGAATTTATGCTTGTATACTTTTGTAGAGTAATGGAAATATGAACAATCATATTTCACAATAAAATTCAATCTTTAAATATCCTAATACCGATAGCAACGGGATATTGTTTCCCACAGTCGGGATGACGCGTGGGGCGGCATTTTAAACGCAGGGATTGCGTCCAGTGGGCCACTGTCAAACGAGAGCTCACCGAGTTCACACGGCCGTCCATAACACATAAAAATCATCTGTTCCGTGCCGAAATATAGGAAATAATCGCGTAAACGAGGATAATGACGCGAGTAGGTGGGGCCGCTCCGAAGACGCCCCTCTAGCTTTTTTTTTCTCGACGTCTGGGCGGCGCGAAGAGAACGCCTCACGTCCCACGCGCGCAACGCACCGACATGCGCGACCGAACACGGGCGCTATACAAACCGACGGCAACGCGCCGACGGTACACCGACTAAAACGTAAACAAACAATAAAATGCGAATAAAAAACACGCGACAAACATACACTAAATACAAAAAAACGACGCGAGAACCCCTAGTTGCAGCGACATATAAATATCAACGAAGTTCATACAATAAATTCTAAAACTCACGTTCTACATTCCAGTTTGAAGCAAACAATAACATTTGAACTCGTTTTCGGACATGTTTTGACGTTCAGTGACAGAAACAAACTAGTGTGTTGTGTCAATTTTCGCGGTAAAAGTGACAAGTTGTAACGATGAACCCGCGAAAAGAGGACCTAGTGTTACCAACATGAAAAAACTTCGTGTTTTCATTGGAAATAACAGAATGCAAAGGACAGTTCATGCAGCGATACTTTTCTTATTGGTATTTTTGTTGAATATAGCGAGGTAAGTTATTTATTGAAACTCAAAAACATTATCTATTCCAAAATATAGACAATATTTAAATAATACGCATTGAAAATGATATTAATGAAGCCCAACTACATTCAGAGACGAGCACGACATCTCATTAAAACATGGGGTAATAAAACAGCACAATAGCCACACACATACACAAAGAAAATAAGCCAACAAGCTTCAAACAAATAGGGGTGCAATGAATACGAAACTAAAACATCAGACACCTAATCATGCAAAACGGCCCTAAGTAGACGGGCGACTAATGAATAATGATCTGCGCCACGTAATGTATGGTAATGAATGTAAATTTAAAAGGTGACAATCATTTTGTCGGCCCACCCAATAGTGCTGCGATTTACGTAGTATGTTAATGCGTCGATATGCCACTGCACGCGGTCGCATAATCGTAGGGCTGTTTGGTCCGTGATTGATATTCAGAGCCGCGGAATTAGCTGATACTGGATGAGCTTCTTTTTAAATGCGAACCGGTTTTTGTTACTTTGAGATGTTTTTGTTGAAACTGTTATTTTTGGTGGTTTGCTATTGGTATAAATTGTTATGTTAGGAGGGCGAATAATCTTGTTACATTTGTGTTTAGTCTATCTAGGAGTTACTAATTGCGAAATTAAAGGTTTTAAATAATCTAGTATAAACGTACAGTTTTTTCTTTTTACTAGTATACATTCTTAGTAAAGTGTAATAGAAACAAGACAATATTTCAATTGCCTTACCTAAATAAGAGTTAAAAAGTCATCCAATTTTCATTAAAAATTTTCACTGCATTCTCAGCTAAAACCACTCAAACCCGGACACCGTTCGAATTTCGAATTGGATTCGAATTGAAAGGTCAACAACCAATTACGTTCAATTAGTGCCGGACTATGAAACGGCAAATAGGTGATACACAGATAAAATAGATACAAAAATTACTTTTTTATTTCCATTGCCAGCGTCGAAAATTGAATGGCTCCACGCCCGTTTATTTTAACCATACATTCTAGTTCAATCCGATTTTATTCACCGAATATCGATTCACACACTCAAACTTGCTAATTCGAACGTAAATTCGTCAAAATGTTTTTTATTGGCCATCATAAAAGGTGCGAAAAACTTACTAGCATGCAATTAGTACACTTTATCTGTTCAAATATCGTGAATAGAGAAATATATTTGAAAAGAATATTCTCAGATATGTATGGTCGACTTTGAATTTCATGGTATTTTGGGAACATGTGAATTTTTATCGTTATTACTAAAATGTGTATCCGAACGTTATCGATTACCTCGCCTCATAAAATAACTCGGTGCATATGAACCAATAAGGTAGATAACAAAACAGTTTTTTATTTTTTTTTATATATATAGTTCGATATTTAAAATTTATTTTATGGAAAGACTTTGACTTTGACTTGAATGTAAAGAAAAACAATACATTTGTGAAACATAACATTTCTTTAAAAGATATTTAGGTACTTTTACAAGTTTCAAAATATTTAAAACTTAATTACTGCAGATATCAATAAATATAAAACAACAGTTACCATCTTATATGTGTTAATAGCTTTTCTCAAATATTATCATTTATATTTTATTGGTTATACGTTATAAATCACACACATTTTTGGATCATGGAATTATTGAATAGTTGAGCCACTCCTGTGAAATATTTCTCACCATTTGCAGATAACTTTATTACTTATAACTGCACATATTAACTAATATCAATGAAAATTTAAACAATAAATATGTAGTATGGCGGCGGAGGAATTAAAATGAACGAATGATTGATTGCTAAAAATATAATAATCCCTATTTGAATTGTTTGTTACGTTTAATTAGCTCGAAATAAGTTCATAAACCATTATTTATTTAATGTTGGATCTTGGTAAATATATTGTGAAAGTAATTTAATACCCACACCTACCTATAAATACCGCCACACTCTTTGTTCTTGACCTATTAGTTAATTAAACCGTCATACTGTTCAGAGCTCTGATTATTGTGACTTGGTAACATAAACCAAGTGAAACCTAATTTGAGTCTAACTGTTATTCTGGACGAGGAATCCATAATGGATGGCCAGTTCCATAAAGATTGTGGCGTATATATGAATGATGTCACCATTAGAAGTAGTACCACCCTCGTCCTCCTACGACATAAAATATACTAAGTAATATCTATTAAAACTAAACTGATAAATATTATATTGTGTAGATATTATAATGATCTGAACTCTAATGTCTAATGAACAGACAAACCGCTGCTCCCATTCACAATGTAAATCCATCCAAACGCTGTCTGTGAGAAATCACCTTGCGAGATAAGGTCCTCATTGCACACGCTTTTACACACTGTTACAATGATGGTATAAATGTAATGATAAACAAATACTATTAATTGTATAAAAAATCAACACAGGGCCACTGATCACATAAAATAAAATATACCCTAGTTTCTTTAAAGTTTAAGTCAGAGCATGCATCATCACAATAGCAAACGCACTTATCAGACGACCATATTTATTACTTAGAATGACTTGACAATAATTTTTAATTGAATCCTAGAATTATATCGTCATTTAAACGTAACTCTATAATTCTTTTAGCACTAAATACATAGTAAAAATTCCATAATGACACATTGTTATAGGTACCTAGAAAACTTAGCATTTTAATGAAGTTGACAATACAAACAATTTAATAAAAAAACTTTATACCCAAGTCATAGTGCCTATTTTCGAGTGTACGTTTTAGAAAAAATGTTCAATAACATTGAGTTACGTATGTACTTGATTGACATTAAGCTCACAATAAACCATTTCTAAATTTAAACTTCCAACAATCCTAATTTCTTCCTAAATGACCATATAATAAAAAACAATGTAGGTATTACGTAACTTACTTACTTAAATGTATCACTCGATCAGCAAGCCTATCTCTATTCAATTAATGTCCATTTTCCAATACATGATGCTTCTTTCTTTTGTATTTCATCGACAAAAGACCGTATTACTTTTCTACTTTTACTAAAGTAACCGTTTTTCTTATTCTTGATATACCTACTCAAACAAACAAATTACATTAATTTGTTTTATTAGTTAATAAAACAGACCACAATATAGAGGTAATATAAAGGTCATAGGTAGTCCAACTACTTAATAATAAAATATTGAGTGATTTTAATAAAAACCGTATCTATTTAAGCAAAGAACAATCGATAGTCGTCAATATTGTCATCTATAATAGTTGCGCACAAGTGCTGCCATCTAGTTTTATTATAACACAACATAACAGTCACATCCAGTACAATTTAAATCTTTGTAAAATTACTATTCATAATCGAGGTTATAATACGAGTATCTATTGGCGGCTTAACGTTTAAGAATATTTAAAATAAGAACGACACAGGATATCAGGATATACATTTCCAACTAACGAAGAACTCTCATTGCACTAAAAGCTTAACATTTAGAGGTCAATTTATAATGGATATATAGTCCAATATGCCTTGGTGTTGATTGACAAAAGAATAATGAATGCACGCTTAAGTTTAATGAAAAGGGGTTCATAATAATTATAATTATTTTTATTAGTATTCATAAAATTATAATCCTGAAATGACTGTTTTAAATAAGGTTTAGTAGATCGCTTTTATTCGTTATTTATTACTTCCTTTCCATAGAATGGAAAGATGTTAACACGACTGTTATGAATTAAAGTAATTATAATGCGCTAGTGGGATTTAAACATACCAGGTTGTGTTATGTTTAAATAACACAACCTGTTATGTTCCCGGAAGATGTAAGCAGACGTCATCTTACCCATACACACAATATTTCAAGTCCCTATAAAATAAATATATGGGTGATAAAGCCATATTTTTACATACACTGAATTTCATACATAACATCAAACCTTTTATCCCCGAAGGGGTAGGCAGAGGTGCACTTTACGACACTTAATGCCACTGTACAATGTTACACCCACTTTTCACTATTTATGTTATGAGTCCATTGTAATAGAGGGTGAGCCTATTTCCATAATATCGAGCACATTTCCAGACTCCGTGCTACGATTGAGAATTAAAATTAAAAAGTATTCAACCCGGGAATCGGACTTGGCAGTAGCACTTTTTTATGGAATAAGAGGCAAACGAGCAGATGGATCACCCAATGGTAAGCGATCAGTCGATTGCGATGACTTGCGACCACTCGGACAACGAGGCAGTGTAGGCAGCAGACTGTACGAATACGGAACCTGCTATACGTTGTGCAGTAGCCGTAATTTGGACCAAACTTTTATCAATTATTACTTAACTAGCCACCCGCCCCGGCTTCGCACGGGTGTAATATGCATGTATTATACATATAAAACTTCCATAAGAATCAACTATCCATTAAAAAAATCGCATCAAAATCCGTTGCCAAGTTTTAAAGATCTAAGCATACATAGGGACAGACAGACGGCGGATTGCGACTTTGTTTTATGTAGTGATAATGTCAAAAAAAAACATTGACATTATTACTATGTAGTGATAATGTCAAAAAAAACATTGACAACGATAATGCAAGCAAACAGCTGACGGATCCTAGAAAAAAAATAACACTAAAATATCAACAATATGGTATGGTAAACGTTTCCTCGTCTGTTTTATAGAGAACAGTTGCTACAAAGTATCGCAAGGTGTCAGGAATTTACAGGACATGTAGGCAAATAGTTTCGCACACGCTATTTTTTATACTGTCGTACGTAAAAGCAATTAAATCTATGAATGCAAAAGAATAGTACGAAATAAAATATTTTGCAGTTCAAAATGAAAAAGACTTTAAGGATAATAATATAGAAAAATATAGCAGTGCCAAAAAGTTAAGAGAAATAAAGTATAATTTTATTTATACCCAATAATCTCCTAACAGACGATGGAGTACAAAAACTTGATTTCTACAGTTTTATAACAGCCAATTCAATGAGGCAACTCACAAAATA